CGTCGCTTGCAGAAGCGTGAGCGAGCCAGAAGGGCCCCAAGCGTCCATATGCGCGAGAAGAGTTTCGACGTCCCACACTGGTGGCCGAGGCCCCGATGGAGGTTTCAGGTTGAAAATCCCTCTCATGAGTCGGCATATCGTGGGGTGACTGCCCATTTTGAAAGCGTCGACGGGACGGAGGTGGTACGATAAGCAAGAACGATATGAGTTTGTGGCGGAGTAGGAATAGCCTTCGTGTGCTAGTTCAGCTAGGAAGTTGCACACCTGATTCACAGAGGCTTCAAGAATAGGGGAATTTCGCTTCTCGCACCAACGAACCCAATGGCGCCAGCAGGAGTTGTATGCTGTGCGGGTACTGGGCCGGATAGCGTTTTCCAGAAAGTTACTCGCTTCTCGCGAGAGGATAGGGGCGCTAGGCGCCATGCGACCTGTAAAAACAAGCGAGAAGGGTCGTCTGGAGGAAGAAAACCCTCACTTTTTGTCTTCCGCTCCGCGAGTACGGACGGGTCTTGCGCTAGCGTCAAGATAAAGGAATCGAACAGGTGTTTTCTGACTAACAGCTGGTGAGTCGCTGCCCGCTCTCTTTCAGGATCATTCGTGATCATTGATATATATACATTCTATACGATACATACGATATATACATTCTATACGATATCGACGATTTGTCGAAGGGAACTCCTAGGCCTACCACGTGCCTCGCGCCACGTGCGCTGTTCCCAACCTTTCCGACTCGCTCGTCGAGTCGATGCCCTTTTCCTGAGCGAACTGGATGCCGAGTACCGAACTCGTTGCCACGCCACATACGTGTTGCCGAGCCATATACTATATGCCTCGATGAAGGTCTGCTCACTGGAAGCCAAACCACGAGCTCGAGGGCTACGTCCCAATCTACCTGTTGCTTGCTCATTTCTGACCAGTCTATATGTGCTCTTTTGAGCCGGTCTCCATTCCCATGAGACAATGACGCGTTCACACACTTATGACGCGATTCTTGCAGAAATGAGCGAGCCCGAAATCCACCTTTACGAGGAGGACGTGGTGAGTCTCCTCGACGTCGACGACGACGAAGACGAGGGCTCCACGCCCTTTTATATATGGGGGGGATTCTTCTTATATATATTTATTACAGTCAAGTCTTCCTAAGTTATAATTCTCGGGAGTTCGGGAGACCGATCTCGGAGAAAATTATAAGTTGGCGAAGGCTCATGTTTTTTCCAGATCTTCCTCTTCCAGCGATATTTTATTAATATTTCCATGGTGAAATTAATTGATTGGAATGTATAGTACATTGGAGAAGCTCAATCTGAAATCGTGTACGATCACCGGTGACTGAGCGGACATCGGAAAATAGGATCGGATGTCGGCTTGTCGCGTACTCCTCAAAAAATCCGAGATAAGTTGACGACGATATTTTTGCAAAGTCACGCTGATACCGATCACCCGATCATTCCTCTGAGTGACGTGAGTGATCACGGCTTGCAGAGCCTCCTTATCTGTCACTATATCAGCCTCTCCTGGGGGGCCTTCCTCCTCTCCCCGGAAAATGACTTCGATATCATTGTCCAAGTCATTGGAATCCGAGTCAAGCTCGGATCCGAATGTACCGTCGTCGATTGTGGTTAGGTGTCGGTCAGCTTCTACGAAATCGTGGAAGTCGAGCCCGTGCGGGAAACATTCTCTTCTAATGATTGGGTCGATATCGTCCAGGTCCTCCACGATTGGTTCATCCTCTAGTCCATGCTGACGTTGGCAGACATTTCCGGAAACAATTGAAGATTGTGATTTCCTTGACTCCGTCCCAAGATTCGCTCAAAAAGCGAATTCCTTGGAGCAGATTCACTTGTTCCTTCAGACCGCTTTGAATCTGTGTCCAATAATGCTCCACTAATTTCTTCTTATAGATCTGCTTCACGTTATTTATGATGCCTCGATCCATTGCTTGGGTAAGTGAAGTTGTCCTCGGCGGCAAGAAGATAAGCTTCGACGAAATTCAGCTCGAGGTCGAGATCATGACATTTGAAATTATCCAGTAACAAGAGGACCTTGCGATTTTCTCTTCTGAAGTTCTCTCCGATCTTCAGAAGCCATTCACTGAAGATCTGCCTGTCCATCCACGCACTTTTCTGTGATCTGTACTCACAGCCGAGTTTCAAAGCTCGGTGGAACTTCTCATCCCGCGTTTTTTTTTGGGAAGCAGCGCGGATTTGCGATTTTTCCGATGATTGAGGGGATCATTTTCTCCGTTTCCTCGAAATTGGCGCGCAAGAGTGCTGTGAATCTTTCTTTATTCTGTTCTCCTCCATGGCAAGCTTTGCCTTTGAAACGGATTGACCGATTCGGCAACATCTTATAAAAGAAGCCAGTCTCATCGGCGTTGAATATGTTCTTGATCGAATATTCATTCAGAGTCCTTTCGTTCTCGTTCATCCAGCGATCGATTTCCTCTTGGTCAACCTTGGAAGCTTCGCCACAAATTCTCTGATTCGAAAGCTTGAAGCGCGCTTTGGAGCCATCTAGCCACGAATTTGAGGCTTTGAAATCGGAATCCCCATTCTCGGCTGAGATTGCCTTTTCTTTCAACCACAGGCCCGAAATAGGGAGGTCTGGGTGGTCAAGCCTGGCATCCTCAAAAGCCTTGAATAGGTCCCGCTCGATACCTTGAAACTTCGGCGTTCTGAAGCGCTTGCTTTTATGAGACTTCTTCTGAGCACACTGCATCCTGATCTTTTCCGCATTTCGCTTGATATTGTACACCGTCCCTTGTGACACTCTCCATTTGGTCATGGCCTCGCGGATACTAACCCCGCATTCCAGGTCGCCGAGGAGTTGAGTTTTTTCTTTCAGACTCAAGCTTGTTTTCCTGGCTTTGGCCATTTTCCCCTCTGACCAAGTCGAGCGACCCGTCCTCGGCACAGAATCGAGCGGACTGAACGACTCTGAACGTCACTTCGTTCAACTCGAGCTCGATACACATTTTCAGAGGCACATTTCAAACGCCCGAGATCACATCCCACATTCGGGTCAGAGCGGGACTCATATCGGTCGATAGTCAGAATGTCCGGGAGTCTCTCATTGAATGAGAACTCAATGAGAAATCATATTTTCCCGTGAGCGCCTCTCAAAACACGAGACACACAAAAAACACGAAAAAAAAAAAAGAAACACAAAACACGAGATGTTATAAATTACCAGCATTCTGGAGCGCGGCCTTCGGCCGCGCTCGTCGCTTCTGCATGCCCTGCTGAAGGTATACCCATACTCAATGTTCGAGAATCGTCGTCGCAGGCGATTGAGGGAGCTCTGATTCTTATACATGAGAGACATGTGACGCAGGATTAAGAATCAGAATATTTGACCGAATGCTCTACGATCCAGGTAGAACATCGGGTAATTTACTCGTGGGCATTCGGATTCAGAACAGACGGGTTTGGAATGCCAGAAAAGCCGATAATCGATAAACCGAGAAGTGAATGACGAGTACGGCAAGCATAATCAGTGGTCAACGATTTCCTCGAGACCGTCCTCTACAGCTTGGTAGGCAGCGTTCCTTTATTCATGAAACAAGCCGTGAGGGCGCTTCGCGCCCCCACGGCTGAATGCCAACGATGCATTGCTTTTCGTTGTCTGAAGAGAAGCATGGGCAATCCTTAGACATGTAGCTCCTCCCAGTCCGGACAAATGATCTCGAAAAGGATTGCAAGGAAGGATCTACGATCCTAAAATCTATTTTCCATGGCTCGTGGAGGGGCGAAAGTATACATTTGGTTTATAAACGGGGAATAATTTCCAATCCGAATCCAACAAATCAGGCGTCGACTATATAAAAGCTCGTCCTCTGCGATGCTGGAGCGAATCGGCGAGTCGATTGAATCCGACTAAAATGGATTTCCGCGCTGATAACGACGAAATTGAGTGGTTTGCACGTATTTGCCAACTTCACTTTTGGCCTTGTCGAAAGACGTCGTATTGGACAGAAGCTCATAGAGACAGTTCTGAATCATCACGCTGAGGTGAAGTCATTAACCATAATACCCGTCGGAGTCACGATTCGTCAAGGTGTCATGCGATTGGACCGAAAAAAAGCGGATCGGGTGGACGTAAACTGGTGTCTGTGAGTATCGACTTAGGGTCGATCGTTGGGCCTTTGGGCGAAACCACGTTCAAGAGAGACGTGTGGACCTCGATTCGGAGATGTAAAGCATGTCTTCTGTGCACCGGGTTGAGGTTCATTGGCAACCCCCTCTCCTTACATCCGCAGCTCATAGAGCTAGAGCTCATGATCCCGTCCCTTCTCAAAGCCGATGGTGATGAAACGGCGGAGTGAAAGAACGTTTCTCGTAATAAAGCTCTAGCGGTTTCGCCGGATTATTGAGGGATGCATTCTTAGCGTGGAGTGTAGATTTCGTAGACTTGGTTTAGCGTTGGGATTGTCCGCCGTGAGAGTAATTATTAAGGAAGGACAGTATTTATTTCGCGACATAGAACATTGTCCTTAAGGCTTTGTTCATCAGCTCGTCCCAGTCGGGTTCCTCGCACAGAGGCATCACCGA